TATTAAACGAACTGTACTGTGTTGCAGAATAAATATATATTTAATCAGCAAAAACAGTTGAAGGACTTTCAAAGAGCAAATGAAAAAAATGCTATGTTACAAAAGAATGTCACAAAAGAATTCACCTTCTCCGGGTTTTAGATCAGTATAGTTGATGATGAAATACAGAAGTGTTTGCTACACAGGTGCAATACTCTACAGCTGTTGGAAACATTTTCCTTCATCCTTCAGAACTTGCAACCCCCTGCTGCCAGCTTCTCATGCAATTTGCTCTGTTTAAACTTTTAAAGATATTTATTTTACTTATTGGAAAGGCAGAGTTACGGAGAGAGGACAAACAGAGATCTTTCATCCACTGGTTTAGTCTCCAAATGGCTGCAAAGGCCATAGTTATGACTTCCTGAACCTGGGAGCCAGGAAGTTCTTCTGGATCTCCCATGTGGGTGTAGGGGGCCAAGGAGTTGGGCCATACCCCAGTTCTTTCCCAGACCCTAGGCATGGAGCTGAGTGGGAAGTGGAGCAGTGCGGACATGAACTGACAACCATATGGGATGCTGGCGCTGCATGTGGAGACCTAGCTGGCTATGCCACCACGCCTACACCATCTGTTTCAATTTTAATGCTGGAAGATATGATTTGTGTGTGTCTACCAAAAGGTGCAACCCAGAAAGATACCTGACCATTAAGGCAGCTGAATTACTTACTTTTTTTAAAAGATGTATTTATTTATTTGAAAGTCAAAGATCCAGAGAGAGGGAGTGACAGACATCTTCCATTCCTTGGTCCATTCTCCCAGATGGCCACAATGACCAGGACTGTGGCAGACCAGGAAGTTCATCCTCGTCTCCTGCAAGGGTGGCAGGGACCCAGTCACTTGGGCTGTCTTACATTGCATCTGTCAGGCTGTTAGCAGGGGACTGGATTGGAAGTGGAATACTGTGAAGCAAACTGCTATGAAGGTGGCAGCTGTACCCACTGCATTCCAGTGCTGCCCCTTGGGCATTGGACTTTATTTCATAGAGGACTTGAGTTTTCCTGAGACTTAAACCTCACCTGAAAGGTTAAGAAGTTTTTATAATTTTGAGAAAATACCTTTGAAACATGTGCTTGCAGAGTTGCTCTCTTTAGAGTAAACTTTTGAAAGGCAAGGCAAATATAGTTACTCATTTAAAAATCTATAAGGTGGCCCGGTGTGATAGCCTAGTGGCTAAACTAGCTTTGCACGCACTGGGATCCCATCTGGGCGCCGATTCTAATCCTGGCAGCCCACTTCCCGTTTGGTTCCCTGCTTGTGGCCTGGGAAGGCAGTGGAGGATGGCCCAAAGCCTTGGGACCCTGCACCTGTGGGAGACCTGGAGGAAGTTCCTGGCTCCTGACTTCAGATGGGTATAGCACAGGCCAGTGAGGTCACTTGGGAGTGAATCAAAGGACGGAAAATCTTCCTCTCTGTATATCTGATGTTGCAATATAAACAAACAAACAAATAAATCTGTCTTTTTAAAAAAAAACATCTACAGCAGGGCTAACACAATGTCTCGATTGGCTGATCCTCTCCTCCAAAGCACTGGGATCCCATTTGGGCGTTGATTTGTGTATCAGCTACTCCAGCTCCTGCTTGTGGCCTGGGAAGGAAGGGGAGGATGGGCCAAGGCCTTGGGGTCCTGCACCCATGTGGGGGGTTCCCGAAGAAGCTTTTGGCTCCTGGTTTCAGTTCAACTCAGTACTGGTTTTTGGGCCATTTGGAAGTGAGCCAGTGGTAGAAAACCTTTCCTCTGTGTCTGGGCCCCATTAACCCTCTCCTCACTGTTGCCCCTTATATTGTTACCATAGTAGAGTCCTTTGGCAGTAGCAATGAATCCATCACTCTGTTTTTTAAGTATATAGACACTGTATGTATAGACATTGGTAGAAAGTCCAGCATTCTATTTTCAAGATATATTTAACAGTTTTATTGGGAGTCTATCTTCTATTTGGAAGTAGAGATGCATACTGCAATGTATCTTCACTTGTTGGTATGCTAGTCTTAGTTACAGTTCGTCTATGTATGTACATATATGTTTATTTGTGTGTGCATACATACTGATTCTGTATTACCCTTTAAGGTTGTTTTATATCAGAAAACATATCTTTGTTCTTTTGAGATTAACTTATTTCATTGAGCATAATGGTCTCTAGTTGAGATCATTTTGTTGCAGATGGTAGAATTTCATTGTTTTTAATGACAGAGTAGTATTCCCTAGAGTAGATGTGTCACAGTTTTTTTTTTTTTATCCATTCCTCTTTTGATGGACATCTGGGTTGTTCCCATGTATATTACCTTTTAACTCACTTTTCTGTGAATTTTTGAAATACCCTTTATTCGAGGTTTGAAATAATCTGAGCAAGTAAATTGAAGAACTCCTGTTTAGGAATAACCTGAGGTGGAATGAAAAGCTGTGTGGAGGCTGTAGGGCAGAAAGCCAGGGAATAACAGTGTAAGCTTGGAATAAGATTGTGACTTTCCAGAATGGAAGAATAAATTGTTAAACAATTCTTGTTTTATTTCAGAAATGGACAAAGACAGGCAGAGGGAGAGAGAGAATCTACTATCCAATGATCCGGCACCACACCATGTGGGTTTCCTTTGTGGTTGCCCGGGATACGAGGGATACTTGATCCGTCCTTTGCTGCCTTCTAGAATGTGCAGTGTAGGACAATAGGATCAAAAGTGGAGGAGCCAGGCCTCAGACCTGTGCTGTGCCTGATGGGATGTGGGTTCCAAAGCAGCAAGTTAGCCCGGAACCTTTAAGTCTCCCAGTGCAATGAAAGAAGCAATTTCAAACTCTTCAGGTCTCCCTGGAAAAGAGACAATAAGTACATAAAATGGCAAAATTAAGATAAGATTTCTATGGTTTTCTACTTAAAAGGGACAGTTGGCAAAAACTTGTTAGTTTTCAGTTGATGGGCTGCTTCTGACTCTAGTTTCCTGCTAAAACAGCCTTAAGGGTAAATTTTTTTCTGCTTTTAAGTTATAGATCTTTTACTTTAGCAGGTGGTGATTATCATAGGCATTATGAGAAACTTTTTGAAGGTATGTGGGACAGAAAATACCTTGTTGTCTTTTTTTAATGTGTTATATTCTCAGGCAGCTTCATCTAAGTCAGAGACCAAAACTGGAGATAACAATGTGCTGCAACAGAATAATAATAATGATTATAATTAATTATTAATAATAATTATTATTATTAGCCTTGTCTGTGTTACCCTTTCTCTCCCCTCATTGGCACAAAACCTTTTCCCTCCAGCTTCCTCTAGAACTTAACAGCAAATATTCACAGCCAACACTATTCAAGCGCTAACTCCATATCCAGTACTAGGAGTGACTCCAGGTATTCAAGTGAGAATCATGGACTGTCCTGTTTTAAGCAGCTCAGTAGAGCAATCCGGTGGTAGGACATTCATAGATTTTTCTGTGCTTTTTTAGGAATACTTGAAGAGCTAGAAAAAAGTGAGCCAGAAAAGATGTTGGAATGGGTTTTCTTTGTGGATATTAAAACCTTGAGGGTTTTTTTTTTGTTTGTTTGTTTTTTAGAGAATTGAGTATTTTTGTATTTTCAGAAACTGCTCTTATAAAGAACAAAAAACTACTAAAGTACTTACTAAAAATACTTTTAGAGCCTTTGGCCAGTGTATTATAAGTAGATCCATAGGCTTTCTTGGTAGCACTTACATGAAAATGATGGTTTTGAAAAATATTTTTAGTCCATGTATTCCAATTTGTAACATTTTATTTGATTTTAGATTATAATTTCTTCTTATTCCTTCTATGAGAACTTTTTCCCAACATTAGAATTTTTTTCTTATCAACATTAAAACTTTTGTTGATTGGCAAGTGTTGTCTACAAATCCATTAGCAAAATTCTTGATAACAGGTTACATTTTTCCTTGCTTTTTAAAAATTGTGTCTTGTTGAACTGTTCTCCCACATGAACTTTCTTAGAATCAAGCAGTTCCTGGTTCCTATGGGACTTCCTGTTTTCTCAAATAAAAATAGAAAAGCTCAAAAAGGAAACCTAGTCAGTGTGAACAACCTTGTAAGATCAGTTAGTCTTAGTTATGGCCAGACTATACAGATCTACAATCTCTGTAAAAAATAAGTTTTCAGTTATTTGAAAGTCTGAGTATTTTTGCATGAAATACTCAAGCAAAAAGATAAGCAGAAGCTTTGAATAATAGCCGCGAATGATGCCACACATTTATCCGTAAACTTGTCTGTGTTTTTTGAGAGTGTTGGGATAGGAGGGGAGATGAAAAATGAATCCTTTCCTTGTAATACAATAGCTTATTGGAACCTTGTGGTTATTACTGAGACTTAATCCTTAGCCACTTTGATTTCTACTTTTTTCTTATTTCTTTTCCAGATATTAGCAAGGAGTAGGAGGGGCTTTTTTGTAAGTCAGATTTGTAAATAAATTATTCAATTTTAAAGCAACTATTAGATTTCCTCAGATAGTTAACAACTTTGAGTCCAGATTTTGAAGAGAAACTACATTAAAGTGAGAACAAATGAAAATATTTATTAACTGTGATTAATGATATTGTGAAGGGCAGGCATACTGACGTGATGCCAACATTTTATGTGTTTTATCTCAATCCTGACAACTGCTATATAAGGTGAGTGTATCACAGTTATTCCTTCTGTGTAGAAGCTGTGACCTGGAGAGGCTGGGTGGATGTCAGTTCCAGGAGACCTGCTAGTCAGTAGTGAGGCTGGCGCTTGAAATAGCTCCCTTGGCACCAAGTAACTTGAACTAAACGGTCAGAGAAAACCACAAATATAAAGTGAGAGTGCTCATTAATAGTGCTGCTTCTGCAACTTTTTGCTGTTACCAGTGTTTTTACATTTTGTATATTTACATTCAGTTTTAGCAAAGTGCATGTTGGCGTTTCAGAGGGCATGGTTAGTAGATTCTAATTCTTAAGTGATGCTAATAATTGTCTCTTTTTCTTTTCCTTGATAGTAAAACACCCCTTTGGTGAAACATTTGGAGAAATAGAAGTAAGTAAAAGATCATAATACTGATATTTTGTGTCATGTTTTATATGTTAAAAAATTAGAATAACTGTTAATGATTTGTAAGCCACTTGTAGTATGAAATTATTTTATTTTCTTTCTCCACAATTTTAGAATGTAGTCAGATTCGTTTTAATCTGGGGCTCTCTGGCAGTTAATTTAAAACCATTTTTGTCAGTAATTTGTTAAGTCAGACGAAGGTATTGGTTATATAAGAAATATTTTCTTATTCTGAACACTCCATAACTACTTGTATGCTATTAACTGCCATGGATTTTTCTCCTGAGAGCGGAAATGTTTTGTGAGTTTAATGTAAAAGCCAGTTGCCAACTAGAGCGGACATGGCATTTTATCTATGGCTCTGGATCTACAGTTAAAAACAAAATAGGCCCATTTTCCTGAGGTGTTGTGTATTCTAGCAATTTTTGTTCTCTTTGCTTTCATTGTTTCTCTGTTAGGCTCTTTTGCACATTGGCATGCCTGTTCAGACATCAGAAAGATAAAATATATAGAAAGGAGGCATTCCTTAGGCTACCTGTTCACACTTCTTTCCGTTTTTAAAAATCCTATAATATTCACAGTCTCCTTAAATTTTACTTAAGATAAAAAAATTTTTCACTTCAGATCATTGTAAGGTACTTTGAAGATGGAAGATACTTTTTTGGTAATTTTTTAATTACAGGAACTGACAATATATGTAGGCCTGTAGAGAAACATTATTTTACACTAAACGATGTGACACCATGTAATCAGATTCACAGAATAATACATTAGATAATTACAGTGAGAGTTTGAAATAATTATGTATAAAACTATGTTGTGATATTTGCTTAAAACAATGTTGTTACCACTTGCAACAATGCTTTTGTGACGCCATGATTAAAATATACTACCATGTCTTATTGAACACTAGAAATTCAACACTTAATTTCTTCTGTATCATTTTCTCCATGGGGGAACTGAAGCTCTTATCTTGAATCAGCAATAATTGTAGTACAGATAATTTCAGTTGACTTACATTATAGTGCATATTCTTTGCCAGCCATTGTGCTGAGAATTCAAAATCATTTGAATAGTAATGATACAAAGAAATAAGGATGTTTTTGGAGAGAGAGTTTGCTGAGGATGGAAGAGGGAAATATTTAAAGATGTAATGTACGAGAAAATATATGAGAAAATCCTACAGGATTTTTTCAGCCGAGGAATAAAGTTTGTTTTAGAGGATGTGTTGATAAATGATAATATGAACCTTATTAAAACAGCCAGAAATAGGTAATTCAAATTATGGGAGTATTTATTTTTAGTGAAAAGTCACTTTAAAATCTACTTTGAATATATAAGATCATTAACCATTTGTACAGCAGTTAAGAAAGTCAGGTGAGACACTCTTCAAGCTAAAATTTAAGAGAGTCTGGGGCCCGGTGCGGTAGTGTAGCCGAAAATCTTCCTCTCTGTCTCTCCTCCTCGCTGTATATCTGAATTTCTAATAAAAATAAAATAAATCTTTAAAAAAAAGTTTAAAAGGCATTCAGAATAAAAAGTTATAAAGCTGTAAACCAATAAAGTAGTTTTAATAGTTGATTTGTAGACTTTTCAGATGTATTGCTAGTTCGGTGAACCTAGTACTAAAGATAATTGATCCAATCTGTTTTTTTAATTTGTTCACTTATTAACATAAAAAGTTACTTAGATCTGATTTTACTTGGTCTTTGGATGGCACTTAGGATCGTGTGTGTGTGTGTGTGTGTGTGTGTGTGTGTGTGTGTGTGGTTATTTTGAGTAAGTTTTTCTTGCAAAAACATTATCAGAAGGGAACAATACCTAGGTTACTCAGTGTGAGATCCAAGTCCATCTAGTTTTTATTTTACTCATTTAGCCTGGTGTAAATTTGCAGTCACAGGGGACAGGTACCCAGTAACTTGTTTTTGAAATGTGAGATGGACATGGTTAGTCAGTTCTCCAGAAGAGCGAAGAAAGGAATCAGATTTTTTAGTTACTTTAATCCCATAGTTTAACAACGTGAGATTGAGATTGAAAAGACTTGGAAGGCAAGTGGTCAGCTGAAGGAGTAATGAACTCTTCTCTGTCAACCACCTGCTGTTGCCCCAGAGACTTCAGCGGGTGGGATCTCAGATCCTTTGCTGAGTTTTCTCCCTAGGGTCACTGATTCAAGCTGCGTTGAAAAGGAAAAGCACCTCAGCCATAGGGTGCAAACATGTTCTCTTCTATTACTGAGACAGTATTAAAACAAAAGGATGGGGCCCAGCGCGATGTTGTAGTGGTTAAGGTCCTCGCCTTGCACGCCCAGGATCCCATACCGGTTCTAATCCCGGCAGCCCCGCTTCCCATCCAGCTCACTGCCTGTGGCCTGGGAATGCAGTCGAGGACGGCCCAAAGCTTTGGGACCCTGCACCCACGTGGGGAGGCCCAAAAGAGGCTCCTGGCTTCAGATCGGCTCAGCTCCAGCCTTTGCGGCCACTTGGGGAGTGAATCATGGGATGGAAGATCTTCCTCTCTGTCTCTCCTCTCTGTATATCCACCTTTCCAATAAGAATGAAATGAATTTTAAAACAACAACAACAAAAAACAAATGGATTAAGTCACATGTCATTTGGCATAAATCTTTTCCAGCCTCTTTATTCCTCCGAACTTGCCACATGGTCATGTTCATGCAATAATTCTGTTTTGTTAGACACTCTGGAAAAAGGGAAATAATAAAAATGTGGTCCCCAGATTCATCATCAATTTGGTTCCTAATGCATGACAGGCTATTACTCCTCTCACTAGCCTGCTCACCATTTTGTGTATTATTCCTTTATCACAGTTATGCTTAAATTGGGGCAGTGTGCTTTAGACTGTACTATTGCAATAGCTCCTGTAGTCACTTCTGCTTCCAAGCCACTCTATGTATTCTAAGAGAGGAATTGTCTGGAAATACAAGTCTATTTTATTTTCTTTCTCCACAATTTTAGAATGTAGTCAGGTTCATTTTAATCTGGGACTCTCTGGCCGTTAATTTAAAACTATTTTTTCAGTAATTTGCTAAGTCAGACGAAGGTATTGGTTATATCAGAAATGTAAGCAGTGCTTTCGTTCCCTCCTGCTCTTACTCGTGCTGTTCTGTCTGGCTTGGAAAGCTGATCTGTTCTGTTCCTCCTTGGAAAGCAGCTCAGTTATTTCTGTCTCATAACTGTATCTTCCAGTTTCTTTCTCATTTGTGTTTGCATTAACCTTTGCAGTTGCAAGATAGAGTTAATACACTTTTTATTTGTTTATTTTTGCTTGAGAGCAGGAATAGTCATGTTCACTGGTCTTTCACTTTGCTAAGAGAACAATTCTTAACTCCTGGTAGATAGATATTCATTGAATGTTTATGTGACTTTAATCATCCATAGATGAGCGTGTCAACACTCATTCCCTTTCTTGTGGTTGAGGCATGTTGAGACAACCTGAGGGCTGCCTCAACAAAGACAATAGTGTTGTCAGAATAGTACGGAAGCCTGCCTTGTGTAAGGGGTGGTGGAAGCATTGCCTTGCTGGTTGTGGTAGTTTATTCTGTTGAGAACTATTTTTAAGCACTGAATTTTTAAATTTTTTGTTCATCCTCAAGGAAGAAAAATGTTAGAGATAATTTAGATCCTTAGATTAAGATTCCTTGTGTTGTCCTTTTTAAAAATGAGTTTATTTTTGTGATTTAATAACCTATATGATTTCACGTCCGTTTACTAATTTACTTTTTGAACATGAATCATTTGATAACATTTTTCTTGGAATTTAGTATTTCATAATAAACTTCTTTTTATTTTTAGGAAAGTGAAAGAAATCTTATTATGAGCTCATTATACAAGCTTCATGATCGATTGGCACAGCTTGCAGGTAATTGTTTAACATCTGTAGTCCCAACATGTTTTGAAAAATTAATTTGCATATGTATGTAGCTTTTTAATTTTTTTTGTCTCTGGAATAGTTCAAATCTAGTGTGTCCCTAATGGAATACTTTTCTTTTGATCTTTTCATTATTTGTGTGGTGTATGTTAAAATTTTTATGGACATATTGATTTTAATTAAGGTCTTTTCCTGCCTACCATATGTATTAGATGTAATCTATGTGTGGATTCTTTCTTCAATATAATTTTAAGTCAGTCTGTTTTCTTTATTGTATTAATAGTAACAAAATTTTTCCCAGCTCATTATCTCCTGAGTTGGGTAAGAAATGAGTGGAATAAAATCCTGGGTTATATACAAAGGCAGAGACTCTCTTGTAGTAATTGAATAGACATCATTCCGTTGGATAAAGTGAATATTTGCTCCCAGATTTTCCTTTCCCAATTTATTGAATTTCCTTCATGTTTGTTCTTGCTAAATCCTTGAGAGTTCCCAAGTATTTTCACATCTGTGATTACAGCAGTTTATTGTAGATGTATCGGTGTCTTGGTTAGTATGTGTAAATTGCAATGCCATATTATCTATTGATTACTTTTCAGATTTTCTTATTTTTGTTTTGCATATGAGAAGAGACTTAGAATTCTCTTCTAATAAAGTTACAAGAAAAGAAAAATGTAGCTTCTAAAACTTTTCTCAAATTCTTCGCTTGAAACTAGATCATTGGTAAAAGCCCTGCAGACAAGCCTGGAGCTTTTCTGGTTGAAAGGAGATATTTTGGATGCTGTTCGTTCTCTGTTCTCTCCTCCATCTTTTTTTCTTTGCATCTTTAATTCTGATCAGCATTTTAGGCTTAACAGTTCTGTTTGTTTCACTAAATGTGTCCTTTGTTTTGTCTATCGTAAACTGCAAGCTGGTAACATTCATTTGGTGTGCAGTCTAGATAGGAATCCCTGTGGTTGCTAACACGAGCTTCTACAGCACTGGCTTCATTGCACTGACTTAGGAAATGCGGCCCACTGCAGTACTAAAGAACTAAACCAAGGGTTGGGTTCGTCAGTGTCTTTCTGTGATGTGTCAGCTAGTAAATGTTTTAGTATTTTCAGAGTATACTGCCTCTGTCACAACTATTCAGTTCTGCTGTAGCTTGAAAGCAGCCTTAAAAATATTAAAGGAATGAACTTGGCTGTATTACAGTAAAACCTTGTTGAGACAGCTGGCAGGAAGCTAGATTTGGTCCATTGGTGGTAGTTTAGTGCTCTGGATGTGCAGAATCAATCTCTGAGATGCACTGTGAAGCTTAAAGACTTGTTCATCTCACAGATGCTTCTTCCCCCCCCCCCCCCTTTTTTTTAATGAGTACTACCTCTGAAATATTAGTACCTGGGAAAAAGTGTTAGTTGGGAACATGATTGCTTTTAATAGAAAAGTGTGTCAAAGGTTTTACTTTGTTATACTTCCATGTTAAACTTTTTAAAAGCTAATTAAAAGCAATAGGCAGAAAAAAAGAGTTGAAATTCGGTAAGATGAGAACCTTTAATAACACGTAGCATGAAGAAAAACCCTTGGGTTCTTTTCTTACAAAGTAACAAGAAAAAAAAGCATTGCTTATCTGTAGCACATTGCCTGATAGAAGCTGACTCCTAGGTAGACTTCTGTCTGATTCTCTTGCTTATCTGTGATGTAATGGTTTTTGAGACATGTATGCCCATTGGTAAAAATAAGCTTAAGTATACTGGTAAGATGTCCATTTTAGTTAAACAATTAACTCAGACTTGCTTGAGTCCCTGAATGACTAGCTCAAAGAATAGAGTGAATAGAATTAAAGCTAATGTGATGAATTTGCTGGATTTTTGACCTTGACAGGTGGTTTGTGTTGGTGGAGGGCCTCCTCTGTGCCAAAATCTATGGATGGGCACTATTGAACTTACTTTCTCTTCTCGCAGTTGGAAAGAGAGTCTGTCAGGATTGAGTTACATGTAAAAGTTTGGCTTATGTAGGGGTAGTTGGTTAGATGATACCTGGAATCATTTCTAGTAGTAAGTAATGAATACTGTTTATCTTCTTCATTTGCTGATTATAATAAAAGAACCTTGAATTGTATAATTTATAAAATATTTTGAATTAGTTATATTTATTTTCTTCTGCTTTACATAGTGCTAACTCAAAATTTGTAATATGTTTATCTTTCTAGGTGATCATGAATGTGGCAGTTCTAGTCAAAGAACACTTTCTGTCCAAGAGGCAGCTGCATATTTAAAAGTAAGCGGTGAATTTAGAACTGTAATGGCTATATTCCTAAGAATTTATACAAGTTATTACTACTTCTGTAAGATTACTACGTGAAAGCGTGGACCTCCTGTTTTGCACAATTAGAGCAGATAGTGGAAAACAGAATTTTTTTTTTTTTAGTTTCTTTTAGAACATTCCATTTGAGAAAAGGCACATTAATATGGAAAGGGCACAAAAGACATTGAGTCAAGGGAAATGGGGATGGGGGAGTAGCGTGTAACAAAGCAAATGAATATCTAACCATTATTTCCAATCTTCTGTCTCAAATCAGTTTCATCTCGGTTTTTAGGAGAACTTTAACATGAACTTGTGAAGCTAGCATAAATAATCTTTGAGAAATCTACAGGAAAGCAAAGGTACTAGAAGACTGAAGATGAAGGGGTGTTATTTTAGTTTCTAAAACTGGAAATGTAAATTTAAAAAGCATACTTAATGTTATTTGTTAACTCTGGTTAAAAAAACAAACATGAAACATAAAACCTACCCTGATAATACATTATTAAGTGTACAGTGTAGTTGCTTATTTCCAGTAGCATCTCTTGAAATGTTTTATTCCTGAATAACTGAAACTCTACACTCATTATGCAGTGGCTCCCAACAGTCCTTTTCATCTGATTCCTGGCAGCTACTATTCTACTTTCTGCTTCTGTCAGTTTGACTTGTCTGGATATCACATCTAAGGAGTGGTGGAATATTTGTCCTGGAATGACATCTCATTCAGTGTGTCTTCAAGATTCATTTTCACTGTAATAAATGACACTTTTATTTTTGGATAAGTAATACCCACCAGGTGTATATATACATTTTCTTTATCCATTTTTCTCATGATGGTTGTTTCTACCTCTTGTTGTAGGTTCTTTCTACCACTTTATAACTGTAGATAAGGTTGCAGTGAACGTAAAAGGGCAATTCCTTAAAATCCTACCTTTGTTTGTGTTGTAAATACACAAAGATGGGTTGTTGGATTATAGGGTCATCCTATTTTTAATTATTTTTGAAGATGTATCTTATTTTTGTTTGAAAGGCAGAATTACAGAAATAAGGGGAGACAGATCTTCCACCCACTGATTCACTCTCCAAATGTTCTCAGCGAGCTGGAGCTGAGATGATATGAAGCCAAAAATCAGAACCTTCTTCTGGTTTGTCATGTTGCAGGAGCCCAACGACTTGAGCCATCTTCTTCTTTCCCAACCATAAACAGGGAGCATCTGGGATTTGAATCAATGCCTATTTGGGATACCAGCGCCTCCGATGGAGGCTTATCTCACTATACTACAGAGCTGGCTTCTGGGGTTTTATTTTTTAAGAAACTTCTACATTGTTTTCCATATTAGCTGTATAAATTTACCTTCCTTTTTTTAGTTAAGATTCATTTTTTATTGGAAAGGCAGATTTACAGAGAGGAGATACAAAGAGAAAGATCTTCCACCTGCTGGTTTAATCCCCAAGTGGCCTCAGTGGCCGAAGCCAGGAGCCTGGAGCCAAGAGTCTCCTCCAGGTCTCTCACTTGGGTGCAGGGTCCCAAGGCCTTGGGCTGTCTTCTACTGCTTGTCCAGGTCTCAAGCAGGCAGCTAGATGGGATGTGGAGCAGCTGGGACACGAACCGGCACCCATATGGGATCCTGTTCATTCAAGGCAAGGATTTAACCATTGAGTCATTGCACCAGGTTCTGAATTTATTGTCCTAACAGTTTACAAAGGTTCTGCTTTCTCCACATCCTCATTTATTTATTTATTTATTCAAAAATTGATTTATTTTTGTTGAAATGGCAGATCAGATTGGCAGAGAGAAGTATAGACAGAGAGAGAGAGAGAGAGAGATCTTCTGTCTGCTGGTTCACTCCCCAGATGGCAGTAAAGGCTGTTGCTCAGCTGATCCAAAGTCAGGAGCCAGGAGTTTGGTCTGGATTTCCATGTGGTTGCAAGGTACTAAGGCTGTGGGCCGTCCTCTTGGGCCATAGCAGGGAGCTGGATGGGATAGAAAGCAGCTGGGATAGGGACCGGCACCCATATTTGATCCTGACGCTTGTGAAGGGAGGATTTAGCCATTGGGCCATCATGCCAGGCCCCCTTTTTACATTTGTTAAACGGATTATTTATTTTGTTGCTACCTGATGGGACTCTCATTCTGTAGGTCCCTCTTCATACAATTCATTATTACTTTGCTGAAGATAGGTTTTTTTTTAGTTTGATGTAATCCAGCTTGTCTGTTTTTGCTTTGTAATTTGTAATCCAAGAAATCATTGCCCACATTGAGATTAAGTTTTTTTCTTAATTTTTTCTTCTAGGAATAATATAGTGTTAAATGTTAATTTTTTTAAAAGTTTTTATTTATCTGTTTTCATTGTTATGTGAGAGAGTTCTTCTGTCTGCTGGATCATTGCCCAAAATCATTGGATAACTGATACTGGACTAAACTAAAATGAAGAGCCTGGTACTCAGCGAAGGTCTCCCACATGAGTGGCGGACACTTAAACACTTGAGTCATAATCTGATTCCTTCCAAGGTGGGCATTACCAAGTAGAGTTGGAAATATATAAATTATTTATTTGGAAGGCAGTGTTAGAGGGGAGGAGGGAGAGACACAGAGAGGAAAGGAGGCAAGATATAGAATTTTGTCTTCCATCTGTTAGTTACTTCATAAATGACCTCATCAGCCAGGGCTGAACCAGTCTGAAACCAGAAGCCAGGAATTTCATTCTGTTCTGCTACATTAGTGGTAAGGGTCCAAGCACTTGAGGCCATCCTCAGCTGCATTCCTGGATGTATTAACATGATACTAGGCTAGCAGTGCAGCAGCCTAGATTTGAACCCAGCTGTGGGAATGGGATGCCAGTATCACAGTGATAGACATAAAGCCTTTGAATAGGCTTTCTTTATGCCAATAGTATACTGTTTTTATTATTGTAGTTTTGTTGTATATTTTGAAGTCAAGAGATTTGAAGTATCCAGCTTTGTATTTTCCTTAGGATTGCTTTCGCTATTTGGAATCATTTTGTGATTCCAAAAGAATTTTAGATTGCTTTGTCTGTTTCTGAAAAAATATCTCTGGGATTTTGATATGCTTTGGATTTGTAATACTTTGGGGAGCACAGACACTTTAGCAAAATTAAATTTTCCATTCATTCCATAAAAATAGGCAATTTATTTGTGTTTTCTTTAACTTCTTTCAACTGTGTTTTATAGTGTCGAAGTCTTTCTTTTTCTTCCTTTTTTCCAAGTATCCTGTTCCTTTCATTGCTATTGTAAATGGTGTTTTCTTAATAGCATTTTCAGATGGCTTTAGCTTGGTATATAGAAATACAACTGATTTTTCTTTTTTTTTTTTTTTTTTTTTTTTTTAAAGATTTATTTTTATTATTTTTTATTGGAAAGGCGGATATACAGAGAGGAGATACAGAGAGGAAGATCTTCCGTCCGATGATTCACTCCCCAAGTGAGCCGCAACGGGCCGATACTATGCCGATCCGAAGCCAGGAGCCTCTTCCGGGTCTCCCACGCGGGTGCAGGGTCCCAAAGCTTTGGGCCGTCCTCAGCTGCTTTCCCAGGCCACAGGCAGGGAGCTGGAAGGGAAGTGGGGCTGCCGGGATTAGAACCGGCGCCCATATGGGATCCCGGGCGTGCAAGGCGAGGACCTAACCACTTGCGCCACCGCGCCGGGCCCTACAACTGATTTTTCTATGTGATTTTATATGCCTTAAGTTTGATAAGTACATTCATGTTAATAGAGGCTTTTATAGGATTTTATAAATATAAGACATTACCTGAGAGAGTTAAGTTGACTTCTGATTTGCACACTGTTTGTTTCTTGCCAAGTTGCTTTGACTGGACTTTTATTAGATTGTTGTATTCAAGTGACATGAATTCAAGTGATATGAGTGGGCCTTGTTCCCTTCTCCCTGATCTGAGAGGAAAAAATTTCCATTCTTTACTGCTGTGTGATGTTAACTGAGCATTGTTTGTTTGTTTTTTTTTTTTTTTTTTTTTTTTTTTTTTTTTTTTTTGGTATGACATTTAAATTGATAGAGCAATTTACTTCTGCTACTTTTTTGAGTGCTTGTATTCTGAAAGCAAATTAAGGGCCCAGTGCCATGGCATACCAGGTAAAGCTACCACCTGCAATGCCAGCATCCCATGTGGGTTCCAGTTTGAGTCCCGGCTGCTCCAGTCATAGTATAGCTTCCTGCTAACAGCCTGAAAGAAGCAGAAGAGGTTGGTCCGAGAACTTGGGCCCCTACTACCCATGTCAGAGACTCAGGAATTCTGGGCTTTGGGCCTGACCCAACCCTAGCCTTTGCACAAGCAGGTGGAAGATTCTCTCTTTCTCCGCTGCAACACCCTTAACTCTACCTTTCAAATAAAAAATATATATTTTTAAGATTTTTTATTTTTGTTGGAAAGGCAGATCAGATTTATAGAGAGAGGGAGAGACAAAGATCTTCCATCCACTGGTTTAATACCCAAATGGCCACAGTAGCTGGAGCTGAGCTGAAACCAGGAACCAGGTCTCCCAAGTGGGTGCAGGGTTCCAAGGCTTTGAGACATCCAACGCTGCTTTTCCAGTCCACAAACAGGGAGCTGGATGGAAAGTGGAGTAGCCAGGACGTGAACTGGTACCCATATGGGATCCTGGCACTTGCAAGATGAGGATTTGGCCATTGAGCCAATGCACTGGGCCCAAGAAACCTTAATTAAAAAAAAAAAAAAGGTTTAATTTTTTTGTGTGTTGTGAATATTCCTTTTATCCTGGGGTTCTGATAAATGATCTCTTTTTTCTTTTCTTTTTAAAATTTATTTAAAATGCAGAAAGGGAGATATAGCTCATCTTGCATCCACTGTTCCGTTCACTAAAGGTCCACAGTGGCCAGAGCTTGGCCAGGCTAAAGCCAGGAGCCTAGAATTCCATCTGGGACTTCCACGAGAGTGACAGGGACCCAGGCTCTTGGACTGTCCACTGCTGCTTTCCCAGC